AAGCTTCTGCAACACTGCCATTCAAACCGCATTGGAGACACCATCATTGTCCCACCAGCCTTCCAAACATAAATGCCAACTATCTCCGACAACCGCTGAAGTTGTAAATCGATGTTTTGTATGATAAAGAGATAGCCAAACAATATAGTCAGTTAACAGCTGAGCGTTTTCCAAAACACTGGGTCATGCCCTGGGAAGGGGTAAACACCTGACCTGTTAATTTCTGACACTGTACCTCTTCATTACAGGAAGGTGCTTCCCTAACTTCATACTCCCAAAAATCTTCCAATTATCACAGCAAAAGAAAATGATCACTCTTGCAATTAAACAAAGTCAAACTATAGCTAACATGTGCTATCAACATTCATCAGATAACCCCACTGTCTGAAAAAACATCTCTATTTCTAGCACATTCCCAGAACAGCAATCCACCAGAAAATAGTTTGAAAAAACAAGTGGCAAGTTTCCATTCTCAGCAACATAACCAGCTTCACTGCAGTGAGAGAATGGTTAATCATGGGCTGCTAGCCATCCTGCAATCCAGGGCAGCTAGTTTGCAGACAGAAAGAGTAATTAGCTTCTGCAGCAGTGCGTGCCTCCTCAACTCTCTGCCACGCTGCAAGATCAGTGGGGCAAGATGCACTGCTAAGTCCACAAAAGCAACTCATGCAGAAGTTTCTGACCTGCACCTGATCACCACCCAAGTTCAGAATGATGTGAATAACCCTCCATTCAGTGCTGTCCAGCCTCACAGACACCACTGAACACTTAAGATAAGCTAAACTGTAATAACTACCCTGGTGCCCCTGTGGTCCTTCCAAATCCACTGCCATTACAACATGTCTATAAACCCCCAAAGGCTGTCATCTCACCCTGTAGTCACCTCACACTGTAACACACTATGCAGTCACATAGATTCTGCAACGGGGTCGTGGTTGCTTCACACAGGCAGGAGCAGCACTCTGGGGAGGCAAAGCTGCCAATGATGGAAGCCAAAATTGCTTCCACTCTCTTAAGCCCTTAAAAAAGGCAAGCTGTCCCGTAATGCAGCACAGGCAAGTACCGGAGTACTACAAGTAAGTTCCAAAAAACGTCATTGCTAATATATTTTGGCATGGGGAGAGGAGGGAGGGTCTGCATCCCAGACCACGTGGAGAGGAGAAATTGCCTGATGCAATTTCACACACAGTGAAGCCCAGAAAATCCACCACTGGTGAACATCAGAATGATAATCAATGAGATTTTCAACAAGTCTAAACAGAGCTCCAGCTACTGCAGTGAGCAATTTAGATATGCATTGGTTGCTTGGGAAGAAGTGACTATCACTGTGTTTTGACTGTCCTATAAAAACCAAGTATGTTTAAGGACAAAGAATTCACTGTTCCCAACTACAGAAACCTGAGATATCAATATGAGCTTCATACTGACGAGAAGTTTTAAAAGATTTGTCTTATTTTACCTAGCTAATTATAGTATGTTGTTTTTTGAATTTAAAGTAAATAAAAAGTGTTCTCTGAAGAGTGGGTGAAGCGCCTAGGTGATGTATTGTAGAATTCAAATTATTTTCCATCCATCTTGAGAAAGCTGCAAACATATTTTCAACTTTTTAGATAAAAGCTTTCATGCTTGTTCCCAAAACATGATTAACCTCCTCAAGATCTGTATGACATAATCAGTTTAAAGTTTGCATATTTTTTTGGTGTGCTAAGATTATTTGCCAGAAAAACTAAAAATATCTGCAGAAATGAAATAGACCTAGAAGTTTATTGCCGATTAAAAAAAAACACCAACAAAAAACCAACCACAACTTTAGTGTCTTGATAACATCCCTTCTTACAAGCCTTTCAAATAACTTCATATTTATCTTAAATAATACGCTAATTATTCTGCAAGATAGTTCAAATTCTCTTCTTTCAACATCTTCAGCACAGACTTTACTAACTAGTTCTTTCTACTGAATCATTATAATGTATTTTCTTGATTAATGCAATTAGTAGATTCTTCTTTATTTATGGCGTTTTCTTTACCCAATATATCAATTGTTGCTTTAAAAAAAAAAATCCCAAACCAAAAAAGTCCACAGAACAACTTTTGCTTAGGAAAAGGGATCAAGCCTCAAACCTGCTTTACAACATATTTTTGTATTGCAAAAGGAGGTGGTATTACAAGGAGGTCTCATGAACTACCCTTAACCTTGGTAGCTGTATACTATCACCATGTTCCATAGTAGAGACCACAGACACCAACAAACAACAGACCATGAGCAACTGGGAACTAGCATAATAGTTACTAATTATTGACTTGTAAAATCTTTGATGTAATAGTATCCAGCAGCCTAATTCACAGATACAGAAAATCAAGAATTTTTCCTTCTTTCACCATCCCTACACAGGGGTTACACAGTACTGAGGTACATATTCTAGTGCAAAACCAACTGTAAGTCAAATGCAAGTATCTCGCCATCACTGACAACGTTTGCCTCTCAGCGTTACTGACATGCCAGATCCAAGAATTCTACCGGGCCATTAAAAGCTGTAAGATAAGAAATCCTCGATTTTGGATCCTCCTGCTTTTGAGAACAAAGGCTGTACTGAAACACCTCCCTGTGACAGAAGTAATTAAAAAAAAAATTAAGGTAAAGTGGATTAAATCTGTGAATGTACATACATAAACACACAGAGAAACAGAACACATGAGATACCTCTGATTTCATTACGTGATTTGTAAATGCTAATGCACAGCTCCTTTTTTTTCTTTTTTGGACATACAGCAGATTCTATGAATTCTATTAGAATCCGTATGAATGCGCCAAGTGATTTTCCTCAGTTGCCTACTCAACGGGGACAAAGAGAGTATTATTCACAGGTAACAAGAGGGATAGTATAAAAGCTGGGCAGCAAGGATGTGGTTCATTAAGGGAAGAACTAAAGAATCCATTAAGGTGCACTGTGAGGCACAACAGCTTTGCAAGTATTCTCTGATGTGCCAATAATGTCGTAACAAATATCCAAGTAAACTACTTAAGTAGTTTTGCCTCACATTAACATGGGTTTCAGTGTCATTCAAGCTGTGGTCATTTACAATTTCAAAAATATGCTTGATTTTTTTTACAAATCACACAACAAGCCTGGTACCCAAACACTCTTCTGGGGGTGCCTCAACATCTTCCAACAAAGTTAGAACAGCATTCTAGCAAGAACACTGGAAACCAAAGCATGGTTTGTTTGTTTTAATAACACAACATAGTTATTTACCTTAGTAGTACGACAGGCAGCCATTCTGCTAGGAACTTTCCATATCATTACATATCATTTATTTTTCAGGCAATTTTTAAAGTACTTCTTTAAGAAGACGCTATATAACTGATGCGCCCCACATTTAAACTCGTACCATCCAACTAGTCTACCAAATCATTTCCTCCACCAGCAGCATGAAGACAGAGTGCATTGTGACACCTCATACATATTTAATAATAGCCTGATAGGCTGTCATTAACATCAAACAGCAATCTAAGTTTGCTACATTAAACATGACCCCTGTGTTAAGAGGACAATCACAAAGCACCTCCAAGATCGAGCCTGTAAGAAATACCCACCGACTTGGACAAGGTGTAATGAGGCCAACTGCACTGAAGAAGCCATTATTCACACACTGGATTTAAAATAAATTAAAAAAAAAAAAAAAGCAGGGGGAAAAGAAAAAGCTTCAATGGGTCATAAGACCAGACATGCCATAAGGCAATCTGTCACAGAATACTCATATTAATAACTGTTGTGTCAAAAACGAACATTCAAAAGAAAAGACAAACCTTCCTTTATGTTTTATGAAATGTAAGCCCACAGAATTAATAATTCATAAGATGAAGAAAAATATCAGATTTGGATATAAATATTAACAGAACACTGTCAACCTGTTTAGAACCAAACTTTGACTGTCCTACCTTACAATTACCAATCTAGAAGGGAATATTCTTCAAAAGCTCAAAAAAAAAAACAGTATGAAAGTCATTAATGAAGAAATTAACTGAATAGAGAATATTAATCTCTTAGGTAGGTCCTAGGCAAAACAGCAGATCTGTGTTCTGTGCCTGGCTGTTGCTGAGCAAATGCTAATTGACTGGCATTATTTGTTCCCAGAGTTACGCTGTGTTGACAACAATAATGCTGGTGTGCACACAAGAAAGTACACCAAAGGGACATACTAAAACCAAGACCCAGGGGAAAAAGGGTAGGAAAAGAGGGGAAGTAGATGTCAGATGACAAAGGTAAAAAAGCTAGTTAAAACTTAATATAAGTTTCAGAATACAAAGTCTATACAACAGGTCTTGGATAAATTTTTCTGATTAGCTAAAGAACAGGCATTTAAACACTACAAAAGAAAGCAATTAACCCATAATTCACAACCACATATCAGTAAGTTCACTGCATGTTATTTCAACCAAATATGAAATATAATTTCAGAATATTTGTTAGTCTCAAGATAAAGAAGTATTTAACTAGACCTATAAAATGATGCATTTATTTCCATTTTAATTTTATTTTGTTTGCTAAAGTGGTTAGCAGTTGAAGTTCAAGATCTAGAAGAAACTACTTCTGCCTTACAACACCAGCCCTTCTCTGCTTTCACTACTATTATAGAGAATAGAATATTGGAGCACAAAACAC